TTCTTCTTCTTCTTCTTCTTCTTCTTCTTCTTCTTCTTCTTCTTCTTCTTCTTCTTCTTCTTCTTCTTCTTCTTCTTCTTCTTCTTCTTCTTGACAGACAATCGATTTGCAAGGATGCACTCAAAGGTATCCACATTTTTTCCCAATTGAAGTGATCTTCCCAGACTTCTGAATGGCTTTATATCGTGTGTATTCTTTTCTGTTGTCCTGACCTGGCTTGGCTGATCTCAACAGATCTTGGAAGCTAAGCAGGGTCGGCCGTGGTTAGTATTTGGATGGGAGACCACCAGTGCTCCCTTTAAGCTGTGCAGTCCTGTGAGCAAAAATTCTACTTTGTGAGCTACTGGCATTAAAAGTTGTGAGCGAGCGATTTGGCTGCTGCGTAAAGTAGTTTGCCCTGGAGCCCTCCTTCCTGAGCCTAGACAAAAAATGTGTGAGCCAGAGGCTAAAAAACTGTGAGCTAGCTCACACTGACTCAGCTTAGAGGGAACACTGGAGACCACCAAGGAATGCCAGGGTCACTACACAGAGGCAGGCAATGGCAAAAACCACCTTTGAATGTCTCTTGCCTTGAAAAACTTATGGGGTTGTCATAAGTGACTTGATGGCAACCCCCCCACCCCCCAAAAAAACCCCACACCCTTTTCAGTTCTGCTTTCCCCCTTTCCCTTTAAACGCTGGAGAGACAGTTGCAATTTGTTGTTGTTCAGTCGCACAGTCGAGGCCGACTCTTCGCGACCCCATGGACCAGATCACGCCAGGCCTTCCTGTCTTCCGCCGTCCTCTGAAGTTGGCTCAACTTCATGTTCGTTGCATCTATGACACTGTCCAACCATCTCATCCTTTGCCATCCCCGTCTTCTTTGACCTTCCATCTTTCCCAGCATCAGGGTCTCCTCCAGGGAGTGCTCCCTTCTCATTGGGTGGCCAAAGTATTTGAGCTTCAGTTTCATTATCTGGCTTTCCAGGGAACAGTCAGGGTTGATTTCTTTTAGGATTTTTTTAAAGATTAGTTGCAATTTGCCAGACTACAAAGACTGGGGAGAATTCTGCCTTCTGTTCTGCACAGCACAAGCCCCACAGGACTCACAACACACACAGAGGCAAGCCAGTGTATGTAGAGTGACATGCTGAACTTGTAACTAAGCGTGTTAGCCGCACCCCCTTCTACGTACTCGCCTGAATGTGTGTACTGCAATCTACATGCCAGCAGCCATGTACGGGGTGTTGTGCCTGTGTTTGGGCAGATGCATGTATGCGAAGGGGTGGCCAATGTGCTTTAGCTGGTCTCTGCATACACTGTGCCTTTGGGCTGGGTAAAAGAGCATTTTCCAGAAAACACTGGTGCTTTCTTTTTTTAATGTAAGGTTGTCTTCTAACTTTTTCATCCTCACTTGGGAAATGTACAATAGGTTGCTGCATTGTTCGGTACAAATAACTGTACATTGGTATTTATTCTCCATCAGGAAGAAGACAGTTATAACTTAGTTTGAAAGTGTTTGAAATTACATGTTGTAGTTTGAAAGTGTTTACAATACACTAGAGTTGATGTGTATAAAAAAGCAAATATATTTAGCTATAAGTACACTATTGTGTTTATTTTTTCAACACGGTGTTTCCTGTGTTTATCTATGTAAATAAAATGGCAAAAGTACATGCATTGCAACTAGAGCATTCAGATTATTTGTTACTGGTGATTTCTTGTCTTTTACAATCTCCCGTCTTTCTTTGAGTCAGTAGAGTGTGGCTGACCTGCCGTGAGGTCACGGTTCTGAGCCGCCGCGTCCCTCTTTTGCGTTCCAGCTCCTGCGTTTCCTGCAAGAGTTCTCCCAGCAAACGATCTCCAGGACTCATGAGATCAAAAAGCAGATGGACGGGCTGGTCCAGGAGACCAAGAACACTGACTGCCGCCTGCACAATGTCTTCAACGGGTTCCTCATGCTGTCCAATACGCAGTTCATCGAAAACGTGAGTGAACCGTCCTGGGAGGGGTCCGATGGAGCTCTGTGTGTGATACCTGCTGCGGCACGAGGCTGTCGCCTGAAAGGAACGCTGCTTAACAAGCACCAGCGTTATGATGGTGTGGCCCCTGTCTAAGTGGACCACCGTTCATGATGAATGATACCGCCCTGTGACTGTCTCGGGGGCAGAGGGTCTGAAGGCCACCTGTTCTCTGGTCATGTCCCAAAGAAGGGGCACAGTGGAAGTTTCCTGGGGTGGGGTGGTCTCAGAGCACAGTTTCTTTCTCAGCACGGTGGTGGCCTTTTTGGGCCCACCCCCCATTGCTGGGAAATTCCTTGTGAGCGAGCTGCTAAAATGTCAGAGTTTTTAGTTAGGTATTCTTCGGGCACTTTTCATCCCATTGGGAACCCAGAGCAGCTTACAATGCGGTTCTCTCTTCCTTTAGTTTATCCTCACAGCAGCCTTGTGAAGTAGGTCAGGCTGAGAGGGTGGGATTGGCCCAAAGGTTGCCCCGGGACTTCTGTGGCAGAGGGGGGGTTCTAGACAATGCTCCCTCTAAGCTGTGGGATCTTGTGAGCAAAAAATTCTAGTTTGTGAGCTACTGGGATTAAAGTTAAGAACATAAGAGAAGCCAATGTTGGATCAGGCCAATGGCCCATCTAGTCCAACACTGTGCCACATAGTGGCCAAAAATACCAAGTGCCCTCAGGAGGTCCAGCAGTGGGGCCAGCACACTAGAAGCCCTCCCACTGTTGCCCCCCCCCCAAGCACCAAGAATACAGAGCATCACTTGTCCCAGCCTGTGAGTTCTTATCTATACCTTGTGGCTTGGCTAATAGCTGCTGATGGGCTTCTGCTCCATCTGCTTCTGCTCCATACGTTGTGAGTGAGCCGTTTCTTCCCCGAAGCCTTTTTTGTTTTTCCCCCCCAAAATTGGAAAAATTGAAAAAAGAAAAGAAAAGAAAAAAATTGATTATGGAACATTTTATTTTAACATGATGAATAAAATATTTTAAGACAAGGTGTTCAAATATTTTCAAATCATTTCTAAAAAATATGTACGGTATCAGATTGATCTAATTTCTGTGCACTGAGGACAAGCAAGTCCTAGGTTACAAACTGAACTCTCCAATGCAAGAACAAGATGCATTTGTTTTTATAGGAGGTGCTATTGTCACAAGAAAAGAAAAGAAAAGGGGTTCAGTTTTGTTTTTGCATGTGGGTAGATATTCTGTTTGTAATAATTGTTTGGATACACTATATTTTTAATATGCTAGTTGCGATACTTTCATGTCAAGTAAAA